GATCCCAATATGAGCTATAGTTCTAAACTCCTAGTATCCCCCTTAATATGCCCTATAATAGTCCCCTATATAATCCCCTATATATCCCCCTTTAAGGAGTTTAGACTATGGCTCATATGGGGGTTTCCGAAAACAAAGGGGTACCTTTTTGGGGGTCCCCATAATGAGGACTGTAGTACTTTGGGATCTATATTGGGCTCCCCCTATTTAGGAAAACTACAATGAAGACCCCAATATACTGTAGTAGAATCTGTATTATGGGGACCCCAAGGCAACCCTAACTTTGGGAAACTTCTAACCCTAAATAGTAGCTTCCATTTTCTCTTCCATTATCCCTATTTAACCCCTAGCTTCCAATTTCCCATAGTCCCTGTATAACCCCTGTATACCCCTATATCTGTATCCTCCTAAGCTTGGGACCCTTTGAAGGACGTGGAGCGCGGTCGCGGCTGCAGCGGCAGTCGGCTTTGGATCACCCGCGCCGGCATGACGACACTGCCATCAAAGCGTTCGGCCATCTTGGCTATTCCAAAGTCGCAAACCTGCAGGTCATAGCTCCGAGTTTTTTTAACCAGGGGACCAGCTCATGGGTTTAGGGCTTAGGGTTTAGGGTTCTGCCCTCTTAGCTGAAGGAGCTGCTGCATGCGCCTTGATGTGAATATCATTTCCCGGAGACACGAGGAGAATGTTCTCTGGCTTCAGGTCCTGCATCTGCTTACATGCACAAGCGTGGAACTTCATGCGCTGGCATCCGCATTAGGAAAGCTGAGGCAAAGGGCCCGATGCATCACGCCCTTGCCGTGCATGTAGGCAAGTGCCTTGAATGATGCATGACGTTGCATCCACGTCCAGAGGAAATATGTTTTCCCGGAAGAGGGCTGCTGTGCGCAAATCCCACTTGTTGACCTGACCCTTCGAAGCCCTGCCAGATGCACCTCGCAGAAGCCCTGGCCTCCAAAATCTCTTGGACGACACATGCAGCCTTCGCTTCCTGGCGAACACATCAGCCATCACTCACGCAAGCTGGTTGAAAATTAGGCATCTCTCTTTTGATGTTACATCAACTGTAGACATGAAAGAAGGTGCTTTGCATCCGAGGAGAGAGCTGGGTGCATGAAACTCCAAAACACGAAACCGCGTGCACCCTAGCCTTGTATCGGCCAAGAGACACCAATCGATCGAAAAGCTGACCGCCTGCGACACTCCCAGGCAGGGAACAGAAGCTATACACCCCTAAACCCAAATAATACAGTAGTTTCAATTGTGTTTTCCATTCTTCATAGAATCCCTATAAAAACCCTATATAATCCCTATATAATCCCTATACAAGAGCTGCCGCGGTCAGAAGATCTCCTGTGCAGAGCTCCAGCACAAGGCGCATGTTTCGAGGATCCTGTGCAAGTACAGAACAACCGGGCAAGCGTCGATAGTCAACTTACTTATGGTGAGCTAGGAATGAAGGAATGGAATCTCATGGCAGTCCCTATATGTATACCCCATGACAATAGTTTCCATTTTCTTTCCCATTCCTTCATTCGCATCTAACCAAAGGTAAGGCTACATTGCAAGTGGCAAGGCTCATGCCTCGGTATGGAGATCAACGAGACGAATAATTCGCGGGTGCTGGCCTGCCAGGAACCCATCAGCACAGATCCTCTTGGAAGTTGAAATCTGCAAGTAGGCCAGGAGTACCCAGTAGTAGCAGCACTCGAATCTCCTTTCTTGCTCCGTTGTGCTGTGCTGGCACACAGCTTGCGCTCTGGGGTCTCAGCATTGGTGGCATGCTCTGCTCCCTCATCAGCTGGTGTGAACACCTTCAGGGATTGTTCTGCTCAAGCATCCTCAGGGAGGTCTGCGATTCCCCAGGGCACCTTTAAGGCATAGCGCTGGGAAGAGTCGCCCTTGCTCCAGCAGACGTATGCCTTTGAGAACTGCCCTTCGCCAATTTTTTGGGGGAAGAGATCTGTCTCATACCTGCCGCGGCACAGCCACATTCCGGACAACAAAGAACAAGTTGAGTGGAGTTGATCCACCTGGAGTTCAACGAGGAGTCTTCGTCTCCACCAAGCAAAGAGCGTCCGCCTGATAGCAAGGACAGCACTGGCATCTCCAAGATCGAAGTTCACTTCTGCGCCTTGACCGCAATGGGGCTCCCAAATGTTGGACCAAACGTTGCCCATTTCAGCGAACGCTTCACCTCTCCAAGGCAGGCAATGCCACACAAACAGGAAACCCGGAAAACCAATCCAAGCGCCAAGCTGAGACGGTTGCAGAAGGCCCCCTTGGCTTGGAGTCGGCATTGCTCACCCAGCGCCCGGTGCCCCGACCCCAGCTGGACCAAGCAGAGGGAGTGAGCTTCAAAGATCGCACATGCCTCTGGAACTGCCACAGGTTTGGACACACGCACGCTCTTTTGTATTAACACCATCTGGTGCGCGGGTGGCTTGAGGCTGCAAAAGGGCAGGGTTTTTGGACTTCTGACGACTATTGCTACGGAACGCGCCCTCACCCGGCAGATCAGTGTCACTCCATGTTGGGAAACACATAGAAGAGCATGCAGGCATAGTGAAAGGCGGCTCCGACTAAGACGAAGACCTAAGCATCGTGGGCAATCAGGGATCCCATCACATATTATGAGATACTACAATATACTAAAATGTACTAATACTATAAGAATACTATTACATAGTGTTACTTTCATGTATACCTTTGCAAGCAGATCTTGAGCTATCTAATCACTGGACATCATTCCAAAGCACATGCCAGATCTCGTGGAAGCCAAACTTCCCCTTGATTGGATTCGGACCTTAACAGCAACAGAGATGAGGAGATTTTCCTCGGCAGTGTCGGACCTCTTTTGCTTGCCGTGAGGCATTGCATGGTAAAGATGACTCCGCCAAAGGTGTAGGCTAAACCTCCCAGCAGGAGCAGCAGCGCGCCTGCATTGAGCGGATTGCAAAGGACAGTTCTGAATGTGGCCCAACAGCTCTGTTCATATGAAACACTTTGAGAGCTGTGGAAGCCTCCAAAGCCAATGCATTTGTAGGCGGGGATTGCCAGGAATGCTCCGAACCAACCTAGAGTGACCTCAGGGATGAACACCATCGATCCTCTGAGATGGGACTCTCCACACCTCTGAGCCCATCGCATACATGGTCATGCTGGCCCACATGGGAAACTCAAGCGGGCAAAAGGACTGGAACCACACCTGGGCATCCAGCAACTATTGGTATGAGAAGCTTGGATAATGTCACCGCCTCGCAAGCTTGGCATCAGGCTCCTAGAAAGGCAATGCCGAAGGTAGTTCCAAAGAAGACCCAGCCCACCCAAGTATCGTGCAGGCATACGAAGCAGACCTCAGAAACTTCATCGAGTCTGTGCTGAATTCCGCTGCAGCCGCTTGGACACCCGGCCGGGACCATGGTGCCAGGGATCAGGAAGTAGATCGCCACGTAGTCCAAGGTGCGCAGAATATCCATGAGCCGCTTGGGCCCTTTGATCGCGTGGTGCCTCGCTGCTGTAACTTACCCATTCTTAGTAGGGAGTAGAGACACAAACTATTGAGGGATTAGATGAGGATCATATAGGGATTCTGTAGGGATGAAAAAGGGATTATATTCCCCTATTCCCTACCAAGAACCAATAGGGTGAGGGCCGCTGAGAGCCAGGCGCGAAACTTGCAAAGAACAGGAACATCAGCGAGGCGCCGTACAGGGAAAATCTGCCATCATGGATAGAGGGTTTAGGGTTCTAATAGGCTCTAGGGATGCCATCATGGATACAGGGCTTACAGGGTTCTAATAGGGTTTAGGGGTCGTTAGGGTTAAGAGTGCAGGGGAATGCATTCCAGTCATGTGATGTCCTTTGATGCAGCCACCTTAACACTGAAAGCGAGAAAGAGGTACGAGATGACGCCCCAGGGATTTCCGCGGGCTGCTGCACCGGTTATCAAGACAGCCGAACCTCAAAAGGATCAGAGGCAAGCCAACAGCTGAAGAGAGCTGGCGTTGCGAAGTTATGAGTAGCTGGCCAAGTACAGAGAGCATTCCTCCCATGAGGTGTGACGCTGCATTGAAGACTTCGTCGGTTACATGCTCGGCGCCGTCGTGGGACTTCTCGCCGATCAACCCTGGCAGACCAACATGAGGCATGAATCTCCAAGTCTGGAGACCACAAACTTACTGGTGGTGGGTAGGAAATGAAGGAAGATCATCCCTGTATCATATCTATATGACATATTCCCCTATTCCTTACTAACCCCCAATATATACCCTATTATAATGTAGTAGCTTCCATTGCCTTGTCCATTAAGTCCTATAAGAAGCCCAATACATTCCCTTTTCCCCTACTGACCCGAAGCAACATGGTAGTTTCTCAAAATCAGGGGACCCCAATGTAGACCCTAATATACTATAGTCCTTATTATGGGAACCCCCAAAATGGGTACCCCTAATTTTAGGAAACCCTCATATAGAGGGGCCGCCTACGTTGGTGAAGCGTGGTATCTCGTGATGCGTCGCTGCGGGTGGTCCACAGCATCCCCTGGGTTGCTCTTCGTCTGAGTCCTTGCATGTGAGTAGGGATTCTATATCATATACAGGGAATATAGTATAGGGTTTAGGGTTTAGGGTTTAGGGTTAGAAGGGGAAAAGGGAATATGGGGGTATACTATAGGATCATACTACTATTTAGGGTTTAGGGTTAGCAGGGAATACGGGAGTATATTGGGGCTTTACAGGGATGATGGACAAGAAAATGGACGCTAATACATGATAATCCTGGCGATGCTGCTCCACACTTGTCTGTTCCCGTGGCAACAGCAGTCTAAACCCTATAGACCCTAAACCCCAAACCGCAAACCCTAAACTCTAAACCCGTTCTCAGACTTTCAGAGAGCTCTACCTTGTCTATGGAGCTCTCTAAAGCCCCATGCAAGCCCTCTCACAACGAAAACGTGCAAGCGTCCTGGTCGTAGTCTCCATTTTCGGAGTCCTCCTCAAATCCCAAGTACTCCGTCTCACCCGGTTTCGCCATGTTGGCGTGCTTTGAAAACTCGCTTCTGAGTTGGTAACTTTATAGAGGTCAAGGTGTACTCCTGAGCAAGGTAGCTTACTGCATAAAATGCTGCTGCTACCATTTTGCTGCTTCCTCACGAGTCATGTCCCTGACGGTGAAAGCAAAACGGCTCTGCCAGCCAGTTGATTGGGGTTTACATGCCCCTCTTGAAGCCTAAAAGGGATTATACAGGAATTACGAAGAATTACTTAGGAGTTATATAGTTGTTATATGGAGCTTGCATTCCCTTATTGCCTATTAACCACCAGTAAGTAGGCAGTCACCAAGTCACGACAAGCTGCAGGCGTTGGCTAAATTGACTTTTGTACTGCAGCTTATTCGAGGCGTCTGTGGGCGCAGGTATCACCATGTGTCGCCGCGTTTGCGGTGATGGGTGTTCGACGAAAGCAGGGGAGCTTTTCATGAACAGCACTCAAAAGATCCACTAAATAACTCTCTGCAAATGAACCCAAAAGCCTGAAGTGCCTAAAGCCTTTGTGCCGCAGGTGAAGAGCCCACTCCAAACTCCAAGGTCATGGATGTTGGATCCATTGGCTACCTTGGCTACCTTTGTACTGTGGTCTGATGCATGTCCTTGGAGACTCGAAAACTTCTGAGAACTAAGATAATGGTCTCTTGGCTTAGCCAAGATCATCCATTCCGTCGAAGTCGCTATGAGGAGGCTACATATTTGCCCCGGTTATCCGAATCTAGCCCGAAGCTATCAACTCCTCTACGGGCAGCTCAGGATGTGCAGCGAAAATCACGGGCCAGCTGCAAGCATGCTCGCAAGAGAAGACGGTTGATGCCCTGTATACCTGACATTCTGACATGAGCAAAAGTCAAAACTCCCAGTACCCCCCTTTGTAACCCTTATAATACTCCCCTATATAATCCCGTATTTAACCTCTTTTAAAGAGTTTAGACTATTGCTCACCTGAGATTCAGGCATGATCCGCAACCCCCTCTAGGTCTGCTGCTCATCTGGGTTGCTGTTAAGGAACTTAAACAAGTTACCATAATATGGGTATACAGTAAATAATAAGGCTTCCTTATGATAGTAACTTTGCTTAAGTTCCGTAACAGCAACCCAGTTATTCTGACTTCCAATTCTAGCCTCTGTCAGCGGATTTGTCTTGCGATGCTCCATGCAAGGGCCCGCAAAGCCTTTGACGCAACTACCCTAAACCCTGAACCCTAAACCCTAAACCCTAAACCCTGAACCCTTAAACCCTGAACCCCAAACCCTGAACCCTAAACCCTTACACCCTGAACCCTAAACCCTAGTCTGGCAAGGCACGGAAGTCAAAGGAAAGTCTGATCGATTGCAGCATGGTCTGCTTCAGACTCCTTGGATCCCAGGCAAGGCTGCGACTCGTTGCATCTGCCGAGATGCAGCATCAATTTAGGGAGTTCCCAAAATTAGGGGTACCCATTTTGGGGGTCCCCGTAATAAGGACTATAGTATTTTGGGGTCTGTTTTGGGGTATCCTCATTTAGGGAAATTACCATTTGGGGGGGTTCCCAAAATTAGGGATCCCTTCTTGGGGTCCCCGTAACAAGGATTATTTGGGAACTACCATTTCTACTTCGACAGGGCTGACGAACTGACAGCACCCTGCCATTTCACACTCCGCAGGCAGCTGTACTCCCTCCCGTTGCACGATCTTGTCTGCACTAGCTGCAGCTGTGGAGCCAAGTTCTCCAAGGAAATCGAAGCCTGGGTTGCTGTTCAGGCACTTAGCTCAACTTACCATAGTAGGGGTAAATAGTATATGATAGGGCTTCCTCGTCATAGTAACTCTGAAGCCTACATACCCTACATACCCTACATACCCTATCTATGTACTCTATATACCCTGTATACCCTAAATCCTATCTACCCTATACTCCATGTACCCTGTATTACCCCTTATTGTAGTACAGTAATTTAAGTTCCTACCCAGAAGCACGAAGCGGCCGCCCGAGAGCTTTGGACATGATGGCACTCTCAAGGCGGAACCTTCAAGCAGATGGTGTTTAGGGGCTTTAGGGGTTTAGGGTTTAGGGGTTTAGGAGTATTCTGGGTTGCTGTGGAGGACACCTAAATTAGTTTACCGTAATGTGGGTGTATAGTAAGAAAAGAGGATTCCTTAATGTAGTAGCATAATCTAAGTTCTTCAACAGCAACCCAGTATTCATGACATTCATACTCCTAGCCATACTGAGAACAGTATATGATGCAGAGAAGGTAGAAGCACCGGTAATAGCACCAAGAGCCAGAACCATTCAAAGCTCCTTCTTTGCCAGGGAGCTGTTGCTGTGCCAGCAGCTCAAGCAAATCTGTACTTTTCGTGTCATGCACCAGCTGTCCTGCAGTTGCACTGAAGAGAGCTGATGGAACAGATGTGTTCACTGGACGCAAACAGTTCAAGAGCATCCAACGTCCTGTCAGGACCTGGTAGCTAGCGCTGGTCAAGAGGACGGTAACACCATTCTCATGCTTCACTATTTTGGCGAAGTCCAGGCACTTTCCTGACAAAGAGCTTGCATCTCTGCACAAATGCTCACGGAGCATTTGTGAAAGCTTCTAGCAGCTTGAAAGTCCCAGCTGCGCAAGGTGGGAAGATCCTCGACGTCTTTGGCAACAAGTGAAAGTGTGGATAGGTCCTAAGCAAGCGGTGGTGAGCGTGTCTCGCAAAAATCTGCTCTCGAGACGTTTACATCAGTGTTACTGAGAGTCCAGACAAGGTGCAACCTTCACAGTAGGTCCCGGCAGGGTTAGGCACTTGTGCCTCAGCAGCTTGTCGTAGAGTTCGGCCAGGAATTTCAGGCCACCTTGAAGTCCCAAGTCGTGGTTTGCCCGGGCATTGGTCAGGAAGAGCGGCAGATAAAGGAAGAGGAATGCCTTGTGCTCGTGGCCGTCTAGCAGGAACACGTCATGCAGCATGTCCCTTTCGCGATCGGTCAGCTGCACCCATTCCTCCTGCACCTCCAGCATGGAGGAAATCTCCAAAGATCCTGAGGCGCCATTCGCTGATGTTTAAGGGAATTGTGCACATAAATCATGTTGGCAGTACCCTCGCAAAAGGCCTGAAATGCCTCGAGCAGGTACAAGGGAGATTGCAAACAAGCCTCGTGTCAAGCACGCTAGGCGAGCCAAGACCAAGTGCGATGGCGTTTGTATGTTGAGGCCCAAGGCCTGCCCGCAAAGAAGGCCAAAACGGAAGCTGAGAACCATTAAGGGTATCATTTTGGGGGTGCCTACCCCAAGGATTCTAGTATTTGGGGTTCTATATTCGTTTTGGGTAACTGCCACATTCAGGAAGCAGGGGGAAAGCTCCTCCGCGCGGCTTCCAATGTAGCGCCAGTAGACCACGTGGGGCTCCAAGCCCTATCAGAACAGACCAGAATCCACCAAAGCATGTTTGTTTCTGAAGCCTTCGTCTTACTGGTTCTTAGCAGGGAATAGGGAATATAACCCCCATGGAAGTCCCTATACCACATACTCCCTTCTTCCCTGTAAACCCCCAGTAAGTTCTTTCATGGTATGAGCCTCCACGTTCTGGAGGCAAGAGAGTGCCTTCACTATGCAGCGGCCGTTCATCTCATTCAGGAACAAAGAGCCGTTCACAGTGGAGGATCCGCTGACCTTGGCGGCTGGGAGATGTCGCGGCACAGGAGATTCCAGCCCAAATCTGAGCTAGCTGGTACACATGAGCTATACTCTAAACTCCTAGTATCCCCCTTAATAACCCCTACAATAGTCCCCTGTGCAACCCCCTACATAATCCCCGTTTCAGGAGTTTAGACTATTGCTCACATGGAGACATGCTGGGGAGTGCGCCCCACAAAGCATGCACGCCTGCGCCAGCAAGCATAACCTGAGCCAGCATCCCGCAGTGGCTTCAGACGCAAGTAGGTCACTTGAGAGCAGCGCGCACGAAA